CGGTGATAAGTGTGCTGATAAAGGTGATGATGGTCAGTGGCGATGGAGGGTACAGTAGTGGGAGAAGTGGAACCATCATCATCACTGCTGCTGCTGCTGCTGCTACTGCAACTGCTGTTCAGCTGTGCTGAAGCTGTGCACTTTCCCACTTGCACTTGCTTGTGCACTGAGGAATGCTGAGGGTCATTTTCGGTGCTGAGGAGATCACGAATGAAGAATCCAGCAGAGGACCTTCTCGGCGGCGGTGGTAGTGGTGGTAATTGTGGTGATGGTGGTGAATCAGCAATCGATTCCATTGAAGAGTGCTTGCCTCCCTCCGATGATAATGGTCTGCAGCAGACACAATTATCTTCTGGTGGTGGTAGTGTCTGCTGCGGGCAGTTGGAGCGTCTCGATTGCGACAGGTCAAGAGAGCCGATGGCAATGGCACCGTCCTCGGTGGGCATCATTCGGCGAGTGATTGGCGTCAAGTCAAATATTGACTGCTGCTGCCTTCTTCTGTCCAGATGAAGTGATCCGTAAAGAGGTACCCACACAGCAGTNGCACAATTATCTTCTGGTGGTGGAGGTGGTGGTAGTGTCTGCTGCGGGCAGTTGGAGCGTCTCGATTGCGACAGGTCAAGAGAGCCGATGGCAATGGCACCGTCCTCGGTGGGCATCATTCGGCGAGTGATTGGCGTCAAGTCAAATATTGACTGCTGCTGCCTTCTTCTGTCCAGATGAAGTGATCCGTAAAGAGGTACCCACACAGCAGTCTGTCCCCACCATAATGGTGGACTAGAGGGGCACTACTACCTACTAATTGGCCGTATTAGTGCTAAGAACTGTGCAGTGTGCAGCCAGCAAATGTGTTCGCACTGACTGAATGAAAGAAAGGCAAAGAGCACCCGCCCTCGGTACCGCTTAGCTGCGACTGAGTTCAGTGCCAGTTGGGCCGGCCTGAGACCGCCTCACTGCCTGCCCGACAGCCAATGACTGCTGCTGCTGCTGCTGCTGCTGCTGGTGCTCCCTGTGCCCAAACAGCGGACCAAAAAGTGCTCTTGGCTGCTGGAACACTGTGGAACCATTGCCTTTTGCTGCAAGCTCAATATGAGAAGTGGCCTCCTCAACATCAGCGCACACATCAGAGTCTAAACGAGCCTGAAAGGAGAATTTAATTATTATAAACCTGAATCACACACACCTCTCATCTCGGTAGAGTGCAATGGATTCAACAACAACAACAACACTTGATGGCACTGTCATGCAAATGAGTCCGCCGAAGTGATATGTCAGTGATCGGTGCTCGAGTGTGCTGTGTTCACGCTAGGACCTCAATCACAATCACAGCACAATCAACACAACAACAACAACCACTGCAGCAAAGTCAATGGTCTCTCGGAGACAATGCCTGAACCGAGTGAATGAGCGAGTGAATGAATGAACGGGGGCAAACTGTGGCAATTCCGTGCTGACAAGCCCAAACCTTGTAACTGCACTGAAAATAACAACAACAACTTTGCCGAATTGATTGCAAATCAATTGTGCCAATTGCAGAACAATCATCACCAGCACTCGACTTGTGAACAACTTGGAATAGGTTGAGCAGATTGATCGCCTGTTCAATGACTGAGTATCGGTAATCAACACTCTGTATTGCTATCGTGTGCAGGCACATTAATGGCAATGATTCGGTTACACCAAACAAAGTCTTGAGAATGTATGACAATCAGCAACAGTGGTCAATTGAGTAGTCAGTGGTCAGTTCCGCTGCATAGACACAGCACAGAACAGGGGACTCATGGGAACACAATTGCAATTGCGAGTCAAGCAAAGAGGCGAAGATGTGTCTGAAAAGTAGTGCACACAGCTTTTTTTATATTGTCAACAGCCTTGGTCAGGACGGAGGTGCCTCCAAAACTGGCTGAAATGGCACCAAAGTCTGAGAGGCACCACAATCACTCTCTTGGTGACAACGACACCACTTGTGCACTTTTGACCAAGTTTTCAGCTTAAATTTACTACCATTCTAGACAGTATTGAAAAAGGCCAGTCGAGGCCAAAAGAGGCACCACCACCAGCACCACTAAACCAATTGCAATATGTGAAATGCAGCATTTTGGCTGCAAAATGAAACAACTTGCAACCTGCAAAGTCAACTGGAAGTCTCGGGCAGCAGCAGTGGGTAAAGGCAACACTAAAGCGAAAGCCGATAAAAACCGATTTTTGGCTCGGTAATTGAAGGGCGAGGAGTGCCAATGACTGAATGCATCCTCATCAATGTGTGCATCGGCAATGAGTGAATGATCACAAAGGGAAGAATCATTCTCCGCCGGTCGATTATTCAACTCAACTCGCAACATTCGCCGGACGAGGGGGAGTGCAAATAAAACGCTCAATTAAAACTCAAACACTGCGCGCTGCCCGCCCGAGGCTGACTGAAAGCAAACCGACGGTAAAGCACACACACCGATTGGGCACACGGTGCAGTGATCAAAGTGATGCTGCTCGGTACTCAACCAAATGGAAACACTGGGCCGCTGCCGCTTTATAGAGGTGCTGCTGATGCATCATTGAAACAAAAGAAAGGGAATGGGAGAGAAAGGGACCGACCGCAAATTAGAAAGCGATTCAGTAGTGCAAACAATACTGCGAAAAGCAGCAACTGCTTTTTCTGTGTTTGCACACATCGATTCAGCTCTCGCTGCAAGGCAAATTGACTGCCGCTGCTGCTGCTGCTCTAATGTGCCCACTGACTACTACTCACTGCTAATTGCAACAGCAACGAAAGTGATTTTAAAGCACCAAAAAAATTTGCATAATTGAAACAAAAAGAGTGCGCCTAAACAAACAGTGTCCTAATTTACACATTTACAAACACACACACACACACAAGCACAGTTAGTGGCAATGGTAATGGCACTGTTGAAGCTAGAAAGGCTGCCAACTACAAAGTTGCAGTTAATCAGAGAAGATGCAGCTCTTGTAAAGGAGGAAATGGCCTCGCTTCCGTGCCCAGGCCAAACACACACACACACACACACACAATCTAAATGGAAATCGACTTTAACTTGCACCGCTTACCAAACAACAAGCGCCGTTTCTGTGCCTCCTCTTCACCCCGTTGTAAATTGAGAGTGAAATTGGCCGAAAAGCAGGCCTAGTCTAGTCTAGTCAATTGAGCGAACAAGAGAAAAAAGACAAGACAAGATGATGGAGGAAGAGCACTTCTAAATTGGACAGTGGTGGTGGTGGTGGTGGTGGGTAATTGGCAAGCTCAGTCTATCTCTTTCGATCAGTTACTGAAGCAGCAACAGCAGCAGATGAATAAGTGATTACCACCACCACCACCACCAGCAGCACTGAGCATCACTTGGAAGCATCCACAGAGAAGCAGCCTCTTCAGGCAAATGAGCCGCCGCTGATTGCGGCTAAAACAGCCGTAACAGTGGCGGCGGCCCTTTTACAAGCTGCAATGTTCAGCTGCAGCAGCAGCAGCAGTACAATGGGCACCGTAAAGTGAAGAGCCAAGTAGCCGTAAACAGGCAGGCAGGCTGGATACACTTGGAAATCAACAGGGCATACGTAATGAAGAGGAGTAGGAGTGAGCCACAAATTGAATTAGGGTGAATAGTGTGGGTGACCAGCGCAGACCTGAAGGCAGCAAGCAAAACCTGCCACTCGTTATACAGAGTTTGCCAAAGTAGAACAGAGATTAAGTGGGAAAGGGCAGCAGCACATCTCTCTCCGTCTTCGGTATACACTCGGTGCCCATTGCTCACTCATTAGCTGGCAATTAGCAGAGCTATTTGAGCACTCTTCTGCTGCTGCTGCTGCTGTTCGGCCACCGAACATCATTGCCGCACTTGAGTGGACTGGACATATTTCAATGAAGGGGACTCGTGTCTCCACTCTGCCGGAGAGAGAAAGGTCAATTGAAAGCGACTGACTATCTGAATGAATAACTGAGAGAGCAGTGGGGGCCGTTTGAATGAGTGAACTATGAGATCTCTTCAACTTCTGCTAGCTCGCTCTCAGCAGCAGCAGCCTGGTTTTGTCATTCTAATTGAGTCACTGATCGAGTCAATCAGCAGCAGCAGCAGCAGCGGCGGCAATCGGCAGGCAGTCCACCGAGAGGAGCAAATTAAATCAAAACGCCTTTGATTGAGCCACAAAGAGCCAGAGCGAGAGAGAGAGCGAGAGAGAGAGAGAGAGAGTGTCAAATACTAAATAAATGTAAATGTAAATGCAAATGAAAAGTAAAATGGAAATGAAAGGCAAAGCATAACGCACACGTCTGAGAAACGGTCGACGCAATGTGTCAACTACTAGGCCGTTGAATTGATATTATTCATCGCCGTCGTCGTCAAATGAATGTGAGTGAATTGACTGACTGAATGTCAGCAACACTGCTGGATGTCACCTTTCATAAGCTAATCAAAACGCCAAAACTAACTAATAATCACATTATAAAGTGCTCCGCTGCAGGCGGCTCTCTCCCAGAACAAGAGCAAAAAAGAAATGGAAGCAAAAGAATGGACACATACCTCGGCGATGGTTAGGTTACATCAAAGGGAACTGGGATGATTCGGTGATCGTGCTCCTGAAGAGGCGGTGATCGTCGTCGTCGTTGTCGGACATCGGCCATCGAAATCCAAAATCGAATCCGAGTTGCCATGAGGCCAAAATGGCGGTCGTCTTTTTCGGCGGCCAGCGTGGCTGGCTGCCAGCGAGAATGAGAGCCAAAAAACTTTCTTCCCGGAAACTTTTACTTTTAAAAAATTTTGAAAAGTTTCCCATTTTTTTTATTTTGAAAATTTTTTTTATTTTGAAAACTTTTTTCATTTTTTAAACATTGAAAACGCACATTTTACTCCATCTTATTACTTTTTTTAATTACAAAAACATTACAAAAGTTTACCTAAGTACTATTACAGCTCTTTTTACTCTGGAGCCAACAGGGATGGTTTTCACTGGGCATTTCTTTACACTTCTCTATCGACCATTCCTCTTCCTCGGGTTCAGCTAGCTTCCGAAGCAGACTTGGGCGAAGATGATGATGATGATGCGGGAACAGGCGATGAGACCAGCCCGAGAAGTGTGACATCAGCCTCGAGCAGTGTCATGTCCTGCGTCGAACCGAGGAAGCGATCACTCAGCTCCAGGTCGTTGATGCGCACCTTCACCGTAGATCCCTGAACGTAGTTTCTGCTCAAAGCAAAACAAAAAGTCGATCGATTAGAAGATGTGCTGAACAGAAAACAAGCAAACAAACAAAGTGTGCCTACCCTGCGTTCACTTTAGGCCGACGGCAGACGGCGGTGAACTTGAAGCCAAAGTCAATGTAGAGATCATCGCCGACGACGTCCACCACAGTGCCGACCACCACCTTGCCCTCGGGCGGACCCAGCTGAACGAGGGGTGAATTTCGAAATAGCGATGCAAATGTGGGCTTTGAGGTGGTGGTGGTGGGCGTCGTTGCTTTTTTTCCACTCTCATTTTCCGATGACTGAAAGACGGCCGAACCGGTGCACAGATGCCTTAGTCGTCCTCCTTCTCCTCGACTGAGTGGTCTCCACTGTGGTGGTACCTTCAGTGATCCTCTGCTCTGCTTCAGGTAAGGTAGAAGACGGTAACAGACGCGAGAAGCTGCGGACATTTTGATTCCTCAGGTTTCAGGTTCTTCTTCCGTGAATTCAGGTCGCCGACTTCTTGTGAAAGTGTAAACACACATGTGCTGACTTGTTTGCATCACGTGACCACCGACACGAACGCTGTGCGCCCATTCACAGAGGATAGGAAATCGGTTTACAAAACGGTATAAAAAAAGAGTTCATAGAAAAAGATAGCTCGTGTAAAATGTATTTTTTTTAAAGCATTGATTTGGTGTACACATCTCCAGAAAACTCAACTAGCAGAAAAGTGGACCTTGATGTTGACGGAGGCCAACTCCGAGACGAGGTACTGCAGGACAAAGGGAATGGCCACCTTGACGATGTTCTCCGGCGACTCGCAGGTCTTGCACGTCCAGAAGGGACTCTGCGCGCTGTCGTCGTCGATGCCGGTGGCCAGCGAGGAGGACTGCTCGGCACGGGTCTTCGAGAGGTACGGGGAGATCAGCGAGCCACACTTTCGGCACATGTGCACCTAGACAAGAAGATAAACAGAATATCGTCAGCAAAAGACCAACTCAAAACAAATCCTCCCCTTCCACCCCACTTACCAGCGTCTTATCACTGCAGTTAAAGAGTCGATCCTGCAGGAGAAAGGTCGTCCCGTGGGCGAGCAGCGAATCTCGCTCCATCTCACCAAATCGAATACCACCCGCCCTCTTCCGTCCCTTCACCGGCTGGTGGGTGATCTGGTCAATCGGCCCGGTGGACCGCACCTGGTACTTGTCGCCGACCATGTGCCGCAGTCGGATGTAGTAGACGACGCCGATGAAGATGGAGGCCTCCAGCCGGCGCCCGTCGACGCCGCTGTACAGCCGCTCCGTGCCGTAGTAGTTGAAGCCGGCGCCCTCCAGCAGCTTTCCGTAGTAGTCGGAGGCGACATTGTCCTCGCTGAAGACGAAGGGCGTCGAGTCGTGGACCAGGCCGTGCATCGCCCCGCTCTTGCCCGCCATCGTCTCAATCATCTGGCCGATGGTCATACGGGAGGGGAAGCCGTGCGGGTTGAAGAGAATGTCCGGAATGATGCCGCCCTCGGTGAAGGGCATGTCCTCGGCGGGCCAGAGGAAGGAGCAGATGCCCTTCTGTCCGTGCCGATTGGCGAACTTGTCGCCGATGATCGGGTCTCGGCGGATCAGGTAGGTGATGGCCACTCGCTGCACCACCGTATCACTACCACTTTCGTTGCCCAGTATCTTCACGTCGTAGATGAAGGCCGGCTCACTCGACTTGTACTTGTGCAGCTTCGTCTCGCCCTTCACCAGGTCGACGTAGGCGCACACCGGGTCGTCCTGGACCACCTTCCGCCCCACGAAGGGCAGCCCATCGCCGTCAAACAGCCCCTCAAAGCGCTCCTCGTAGTCCTTGTAGCCAAAGGTGAACTGAATGTCCGAGGAGCGACTGCTGATGCCCGCCACCTCCCTCAAGTCCACCACCTCGGTCTTGTGAATCAGGCCCGCCTTGAAGCCGCGCTCCATGCTCGCCTTGTTGATGATCATGGCGTCCTCCATGTCGTAGCCGGTGTAGCTGCAGACGGCCACCACGGCGTTCGTCCCCAGCGGGTAGTTGTCCAGCTGGTAGTGGTCGTAGGCGCTGGTCCGGACCAGCGGCGACTGCGGACTGACCACCGAGTACATCTTGTTGTCGGAGCGGTAGCGCAGCGTGTGGCTCGCCGTGCCCATCGTCTGCTTCGCCATCTGACAGCTGTACATGTTGCGGGGTGACTGATTGAAGTCAGGGTAGGGGATCATCCGGGCCAGGACGGAGAGGAAGGCCGTCTCCTTCAGTTCCTGGTGGGTTGCCCGCCCACCGCCGCCGCCGCCGCCCCCTCCCACGGCACCGCCCACCGCCTCCGCCCCGGTGACGGCAATGTCGAGGTAGCACTGCTCAAAGCTGCCGATCAGCTCCACCGCCGAGGTGGCCAGGTTGTAGACGGGGCGGACCATCCGCGAGGGCGTCGAGAAGAGAAAGAGCCCGGGGAATTGGCTCGCCTTCTCCGTCGGCGGCACCAGGCCAATCTCCAGCGTGGAGGGCACGCGTTCTCCCTTGAAGCCGCTCGGTTGCCTGTTTCCACCACCGGTGGTCTTCATCACCCGCAGCTCCTCGGCAATCTTCGCCGCCAGCTCCAGGCGGACAAAGCCCACCGGCCGGCCGTCCAGGAGCACCGCCAGGTGGCTGCCGGGGCCCATCGCCGCGCTGGGCCCCGGCGCCATCGGCTCCATGCCCAGACCGACCAGCGTCCGCGTCAGATGGCCCACCGCCGCCTGCGAGTTGGTAATCCGACAGAGCTCGCTAAAGTGGTTCAGCAGCCCGCAGGGCGACCCGTCCGGCGTGTGCACCGGACAGAGGAAGCCCCACGCCTCGGGGTAGAGCTTCCGACAGGCGGTGGTCTTCATCTCGGTGAAGAACTGGCCCCGGTGGACGCAGCGAAAGTGGGCGAGGAAGCGCCAAAAGTTGATCTTCTCCGCCTTGACGCTGATGCCCGCGGACTGCATCAGGCCGAGGCCGCTCTTTGACCGCAGATTGCCCGTCGTCACCAGAAACTCCACCGCCCGGGTAATTTCAAAGTACTTCGAGACGAGGGCCTTGCGCATCGTCGAGTTGGTCAGCGTGTAGCCGGCAGTGGTGGCACTGGAGGCGGACTTTTGCGCCAGCTGGTAGTTCCGCTCAATCACCTGGCGGACGTTGGTGAGGAAGATGGAGAGCCGTTCGAGGAGGAGCGTAAAGTAGATGTGCCCACTCTGGTAGATCTCGTGGAACATCGGATTGTCGGGACTCTCCGGGGCGCACTCGCCCTGGACGAAGGCGATCAGCTTCCGGGCCATGAAGGCCAGCAGGTTGAACTTGTCCACGTTGGTGTTCAGGTGGATGGCGATGCACTCCCTAAATGAGAAAAAGAGAATTAAAATCTCTTCAAAGTACACAACNCAGCGCCTTGCGCATCGTCGAGTTGGTCAGCGTGTAGCCGGCGGAGGTGGCACTGGAGGTGGACTTTTGCGCCAGCTGGTAGTTCCGCTCAATCACCTGGCGGACGTTGGTGAGGAAGATGGAGAGCCGTTCGAGGAGGAGCGTAAAGTAGATGTGCCCACTCTGGTAGATCTCGTGGAACATCGGATTGTCGGGACTCTCCGGGGCGCACTCGCCCTGGACGAAGGCGATCAGCTTCCGGGCCATGAAGGCCAGCAGGTTGAACTTGTCCACGTTGGTGTTCAGGTGGATGGCGATGCACTCCCTAAATGAGAAAAAGAGAATTAAAATCTCTTCAAAGTAAAAACAACAAAACTCACTCTCCTCACTTACCGAAAGAGACAGTCGGTGATCTCCTCATCGGTGTACCAGGAGGGCGCCTCAAAGCGCACCCTCACCCGCTCGCCGATGTANCACAACAAAACTCGCCCTCTCACTCTTACCGAAAGAGACAGTCGGTGATCTCCTCATCGGTGTACCAGGAGGGCGCCTCAAAGCGCACCCTCACCCGCTCGCCGATGTACTGGCGAATCTGCCGCGCCGTGTACAGGCCCTCCCGCTGCACCAGCCGCAGCATATTGACCAGGCAGTTCTTGTAGAACTTGTCCTCCTCCCGCCCTCGGATCAGCTCATTGTAGATGTACTGGTCGGAGACGTCGAGCAGGCACTTGAGGACCAGAACCAGCGGCAGGTAGATCGGCTGGCGGTTGTAGAAGAAGCGCAGCTTGATGGTCCCATTCGTCAGGTAGTGCATGACCATGTTCTATTTGAGGAAGAAAGTGTATTAGTTAAAGATAAAAAGGTAAACAAACAAATCGCCCCCTTACCGCTCCAATCTGGTCATTGCGCACGCAGCGAATGGAGACGCCAAACTCGGAGAAGAACTGGCCGCTGTCCTTCCACGAGTTCCGAGAGATGGCCATTGGCTTTAAAAATGGAAAAAAATTGGCAGTTAGAAAAGAGAATCAATATAGAATCATATCATAAAGCAGTCTTACATAGTTCCGCCGCTGGGCAATCAACTTGCGAATGAGGTACTCATTGCCGTTCATGATGAAGTACCCGCCGAACTCCTCCTCGTCCTCCTTGTGCCTGATCAGCTCCGTTCGGCTCAGCTTCTCGATGTTACAGCGCGCCGACTTGACCATGATGGGAATGTCGCCCACGATGTCCTCGATGATGTCCTGCACCTTCCCATTCAGACTCCAGTTCATCGTCACCATCAGCTTGCCCTTGTAGGAGATCTTCCGCATGCGGCACTCCGAGGGAAAGAGCGCACTGGAGCTGGTCTTGCTGTCGTTGTTCACGCAGGGGGGAAAGATGGAGCACGCCTAGGTGGTAGAGATTGCTTAGATTTTAGAAATGATTCAATTTAGAAATCTAGAATCGACTTACAATAATCTGTATGACCACCCGGTCTCCGTTGGGCAGCTGAAAGCCCATCGGCTGAATGTTCTGAATGCCCTTCTGGATGCCCTCGTTGATCATGAAGTTGAAGGACTCGATGTGCGCCTTGGCCAGGTTTTGCAACGTCTGCAAAGGTGAATATAAAAGTTAATTTTAGCAAATGATCTTCAAATCATCCTCCTCACTTACCTTCGTCTGCTGCCTGCCCAGGTCATTCCACAGCTGGCTGCTGATCAGCTTCTGCGTCGGCTTCGCCGCTATTGAGCCAATCTCCTCCGTCAGCTCGGCGACGAGCGTCTTGTCGGTCATTTTTCTTAGCAAAAAGGCAGAATCAGTATAAAAGCAGAATATTCCTAAAACAGTAGAGAGAAAGAGAGAATGCAGCATGGAATCACCAAAACACACAACAAAACACATGCAGCACACACAGTGGCGGCCACGTGAGTTTGCTGACAACTGGTCGAAAAGGACAAATGTCCGAAACAAAGATAGACAGCTCTCCGAAAAGACAACTGTCCGAAATGAAAGTTTTCACTTTGAATGATTTTATTGGCTTTTTCTTTGACGGCAAAATTACAGGAAGTTGTGCAGGTGATATGCTTCAATAAAAAGAGTTGGAAAAAAGGAAATGAGTGTTCTGTACAGTGAATGGAGGCCACCACTTGTGTTAAATGGTGGCATTGGCGGGCTG